CCATGAACATATTATAATAGTCATTTGGACATCTGAAGCAAAAGTTATGGCCATTATACAAGAGGCTGTCCGAGAAGAGTTTGGAAAATGACTTTTGAAAATTTTGTTCTTCGCGAACGCGAGAGGAGGACCGCGAACGCGAAGAACAAATCCCTGGGCAGCAGAATAAAGTCCAAACTCGTCTCACTCTTCCATTTTTGGACCAAGGGAGCTCGGGTGAGGCGATTTTTCGAGAGATTTTCAAGAAAAACATCGGGGTAAGTGTTCTTAACTCAATTTTGGTTAGATTACTCGAATCCATCGTTGTTTTTAACATTTAATTGGTGGTTTTAGTTGGTAAAATCTTGAAAACCCTCTTGGTTTAATTTGAAGATTTGAGGGTCGAGTTGATGTCGGATTTTGGTAAAATTGGTATGGTTAGACTCGTGGTTGAATGAGTTATCGGATTTTGTGAGTTTTGTCGGATTTTGAGACGTGGGCCCCACGGGCGATTTTGAGTTAAATTTTGGATTTTTGTTGGAAAATTAGTATTTTCATATGAAATTAATTCGTACGATTTATATTGAGTATATTGAATTATTATGACTAGATTTGAAGCTTCGGACGAATTCGCGAGACAAAGGCTTGTTGGAATTTTGAATTGGTTGCAAAGCGAGGTAAGTGTTTGGTCTAACCTTAGCTTGAGGGATTAGGAGTTGTGTCATAATTGTTATGTGTTATTTGTTGAGTACGACGTATAGGCATGGTGACGAGTATCTATACGTTGGTGTCAAGCATGCCCGTGAGTCTTATACTTTGATTAGTGTGACTCCTATTTGACTTAACTAAAGAGTTTTGCCTCTCCTATTGTCACGTTATATTTTTATAACTACTTGACTCGTGTTGATTTCCTTATTATTGACTTGTATATTGTGGGATCGTTGCTACGTGTTAGTTTTTCCGCTATTGAACTGTTCCCTTTATGCCAGTATTCTTTTTTGTGGTTATTCCTTTGAGCTGGTTCTACCATTTTCTCGTGATTTACAGCCCATGAGTTGATTTACTTGTCTTACCTTGTATTATTGTCATTTATTGTTGTTATATGGATTGCGGTGATGTTCAGTCCTTCTGTTATGATGTAACTGTTGATTCTTTTGGTTGCGTTGTGTATTTATTTTGGGACTACGAATGTGGGATTCCGGTAGCTCCTCCTTGTTTGTTTACTTTGGGACTACGGATTAGATTCCCGAGAGATCCCCCTGCACATTTACTTTGGGACTACGGATCGGGATTCCGGTAGATCCCCGCGCATTATGAGTTGGACTACGGGACTGCACTCGGGAGATCCACTGGATATTTATATTTGGGGACTACAGGACGGTATCCTGGGAGATCCCCGGTTGTTATCTCTGTGTTGAGCTGTACTCCTTCCGTGATTATTTTGTCTCCGTTGTAATTGTTGTTATCAATTCAAGTGTTTTAATGGTTTAGATTCCTTTACGGTTGTGATCCTTTGTATGGGAATTCATAGTGTTGACAATACCTCACCCTATTTGTTTCATATATATTCAATACTTCAAATTTCAACAACTGCTACATTTTTAACTCAATTGATTTCTCAACTAAATTTTCCTTAAACCGTTTGCAGTTGTACTTTACTTAAGTAGGAATTTCTACTAAGTTAATTTATCAAATCCCTAGGTAAAAGTAATAATCCATTCGATGTTGTATTCTAATTGAAACATGGTACTTTATTTATTCAAATGATTTCTAAAAATAACTTCATCTTTTCGTGATGAGTTTCAAATGGGTTTAGAAGTTGTACTCTACTTCTTGTTAAGTAAATGAGGCTCCGTGAACATTCTTAAATTGTATTGGGTTATGGACCCTATGAACTGAGTAACCTGAGAACGTTGTTCCGCAATGTGAAACAGAAATCTGTGGGTACAAGGTGCCGGGGGAAATATATATTATTTATGATTATGAAATGAGGCGTCACAATGTGACCTTTACTTGAAAGAGTTATATTCGAAAGATGTCTGTTTGAAGGAAATATATTTGAAAGATATTTATAGCTGAAGGACTTGATTAATTGATTGCACTTGTATACATTATTCGTTGAGCAATATTTATGGTGTTTTTGTTGCCTGCTATTTATATCACTAGATGATCATTATTGTCATCATTGTTATCTGCTTCCTAATATTCTTGTACGCTATATTGCACAGGTTTATTTGGTAGTCTGGTCCTAGCCTCGTCACTACTTCGCCGAGGTTAGGCTAGGCACTTACCAGCACATGGGCGGTTGTGATGATACTACACTTTGTACTCTTTTGTACAGATCCCAATGCTGTAGACTTCGGACCGCAGTGAGATTTGTTGTTTCTTGTTCATCAGGCGACCCGAGGTAGTCCTGCAGGCGTCCGCAGGCCTTGTCGTCTCCTTCTATCTACTATTCCTGTTTCCTTCATGTATTTCCAGAGACAATGCTGTATTTATTTCTTTCAGACCTTTATTTGTAGTACTCTTACACAGTCTGCGAAGTTGTGACACCAGTCTTGGGTAGATAATGTTATGGATTGGTATTAGCAGTATTATTTAAAACTTTACAATGTAGCCTTCTGCTTATTCAATTCTGTTGTTATCTAATTGTTGGCTCTTAACTGTTATCGGATTAATAATGAAAACAAGGTAAATAGTTCAGTTGGTTGGCTTGCCTAGCTTTCACTAGTAGGCGCCATCACGACTCCCGAGGGCGAAAAAATCCGGGTCGTGACAAGCAATAACAACAGGACCTTGGTGTGTTTGGTACGAAGGTTCCAACTTTCCCGTGTTTAATTGGCCTAAATGTTTTGGAAAATATTTTTCTTATCAACTTATTTTCCTCCAATTCGAGAAAAATATTTTCCCTATTAAGAGAAGGGAAAATATTTTTCAAAACTCCTTCCCCACCTTATTCCCCATCCCCATCAACACCCACCAACCCCCTCCCACACCCCACCCAACCCCAACCCCCGCCCCGCCCCGCCCCTACCCACCCCCTCCACCCCACCCACCCACCCTACTTTAAATAAAATATTATAAATAGTACTTTCTTTTCATACTATTAGATCTAGTGTACGTGCGTTGCGCGTGTATTATGCGTTATGCAGAAAAGAGCGTATTTTAATAGGTAGAATAAGAAAGAATTAAGTATAAAGATAATTGATGATGCAACACATTTAAATGGTAAACTGCCAAAATAGCGTATATGAAATTGAATAAGAATGAATTAAGTTTAATAGCAATTGACGATGCAAAAAGTTATTACATTAAAGAAATAGTTGTATTCATTGTGTAGACACTAAATTGAGTGTTACAACGAAATTTGGATGTGGTGATGTTGCTGGACCCATTAGCCGAACTGTTGATTAGCCTCTTGATGCCATCTGTTGAAGAATGTTGATGTGCGCCAGAAAGAATGTTTCTTTAGTTGTTATTGGTAAGAGGAAGACACCTCTAAAATATAACGGTATTGTCGATATATTCAGCGAACAGTTCAGAATCTGTAAAATAAATATAAATATATAGTTACAATATATGTAAAATTTATATATAATATGTATACTTAATTTGTATATAGATGAAGAGATTTCATTAAAAAACAAAATATTAACATATGGTTACAGTCTTTCTATCAGACCTTGAAATTTATAATTAAACATATTAAATCATTAACATATTAATTACAAAGAAACATCTAACATATTAAACTAAAACTTCCAACTTACATCTCGTTGATAAGCATTATACCCTCCGTTTCTTTGCATTTTCTCCCATGGAGGCTTTAACATCCACTAAAATTTCAACTATATCTAGAAAGAAAATTAAAACAAATATATGTATATTACTAAAAAAATAATAAGACGAATAGAAGTAAAATATTATTTATATATTTAGTGAAAGATTACTGGATGAAATCTAAAGAGCTTACCAAAAATTATTCTATTGGTGCACTTTGATGCCTCATCGAATGAAATAAAATTATTTGAAAAACCAACAATCGAAAAGTGATTGTTGCTTTCTTCAACAAAAGTATTCTCCTTAAATCCAATCGCAAGATCCTTGTGCACTGATTGAAAATTAGGATCAACACCATTAATGCGTCCGTTTATGATGTAACTGATCTTGTTTTGTTGTAAATATTCTTTCCACTTCTTAATATAACCATTGAAAAGTGTAGCGTGAATTTTAGTTCCCTATAAAAAAATTCACTTTAAGTTTAATATGATGGTTAAAACTAATACCAAAAGACATCAAATAAAATATTGATATAAAATAACATTTACCTCTTCGTCAACTAATGTCACAATTGTTTCGGGTGCCTTGATTTGTCTTATTGTTGAACTCTTGTACTATTCCACTCCCAAACATTAAGACTCGTATTACCCAACATGAATCAGATACTCTTAGCCTATTAATTGGGACACATTGGTCTGACAATTCTTTTTCACTATCCATTGCAGGTGTATCTAAAATAAAGCATGCGTAAGAGTTTTATAAGTTATCAAAGTGACTAAATCAACAATTAATTTTTTTTTTTATGATATAAGGAAGATTGATTACGTGAACGGATGTAATTGGTGAAACTTGAGTGATTCAAGCATGGCAATTGCAAATAACACAATTATAAATCATGTAGAATTAATACTACACAGAATTAAAGGAGATAGTCTAATTTTTATTTTATTTTTACACTACAACAAAATTGTCCTAAGACAACACTTATCACAGACAATACTTGAAAAGTGTTGCCAAAAGTAGCAATAGGAACACTTTTGTAAGGGTGGCCTTTGATAATTGCTTTTGGCAACGGTGTTTGGGCAACACCGGTAAAGCGTGTTCTTTATGCGCAAAGACTACACACTGTAAGTGTTACCTAATGTTAAAATTTTTTAGAACGCTTATTCAGATATTAAGCAACGCTTTACAAGTGTTATCCTTGGTACTTTAAAAGTAACGCAGTGCAAACGTGGCCTAAAGTAAAAAATTCGCACCAAAATTTCCCACTTAAACTATTCCCTCTGAAATTTCCCACTTTCCCTCTAAAACATTTCATTAAAAGTCTAAGTGATTCCAGTTAACCCTATTTCTCTAGGGTTTGAAACCCACAGCCTACTTCACTTGATTTTCAAAAAATAGGACAGTCCATTGCACCCAATCTTCGTCAAAAAAGGGAAAGAAGAAAATGATTGCACCCAATCGGTTACGCTCTTCAGAAGCAGGAGATCTGATTTACTTTATTTGATTTCTCCAAAGATCTAAGTTACACGGTCAATTTGTCAATACAACAAGAAAGGTACGGCATTCAGGATTTCTCTATTTCTTTTGAGATCAAAGTCAGTAATGATTATCCATATACAGAGGATACTCTACTTTTATTCAGTTTATGGATTTAATCAAAAATTTGTAGTATTTGGATTTCCTTTTGAATATAGAGTAAACGAGTTTCTCAGGGAATTTCTGATACTATCCTTTCTTATGAATTTGGGAAAAACTTGAGCTAAAAGAATTGTAGATCTTTTAGTGTATATGTATTTGGAAAGATTTGGGTTTAGCATGAGAGGTTTGAAATTATTATATTAGAATTTCTTTTATAATGCCTTTATCGTCCAAAATGTTTCACCTACTTTTATTTCTTTTAATAAAGCATTTCTTTCAAAAAAAAAAAAATTAATTTTGTTTTGTTTGTTCTGGGAAATAAAGGATGAGTAGGGGATTGTCGGGTATTCGAACTGTCCACTTAAATGAGGAAATGATAAGAAACTCACAAATTTAGCTACACCATAATACTTTGATGAAACTCAACTTGATTGACTTGAATAAAACAAAAAGCTTCTATTTTTGTTGAAGAACTCAATCGTTTTGAGACTACACAAATTATTTAATCGTATCAGAGACATTCAGCTAAATGATTACAAGTTTGGATTTAATATAGTGATCAATAAGAGTGCTATAGGAAATTTTAAGTATAATGTTAGTGAGAGGAATAATGAAATGAACAAAGTGGCAGCAGATAAAATATCTTGACTTGTAGGTAGAATGGCGTATACTATTACTATCTCTGAGTGAAAAAAAAGTGAAAGTAGTATTATGGTCCTATAGTTAATTACTTCTTCCTGAATTATGTATACGTCTGACTTATAATACCCTTGAAGCATTTTTATGGAATTTGATTGCCTTCTATCTTATTTGCCTAGAACTAGAAGTTTTAAATATTGTTGAGTTTGTCATTTTCATATTTTCATGCGATTCGATCATTTCTTGTCCAAAATTATGTATTTGTCTGTAGATTGACATTATTCTCTTTAAAATTTTATGTTTAATTATTTTACAACATTCAGTAAGCAAAGAGACTACATACAATTATTAGTTTCCATTGTAGTATAGTGATTGTTTCTCTCATGTATCATTAAAGTTTAGTCACAGAGTGAAGGAATTATCGGCCTCCCCTCTCCCCTAAAAAACAAAAACATTCTTTATTGGAACTATATGATTTACCTCTTTTTATGTAAAAATGATTCTGTATGCCTCTTAAGTAAATTTGTTCTTAATGTGATGAAATTACCTGCCTACTACAGTAGTCTATTTTAGCCAATATGTATTTTCCAAAATCATCAGAAGTCCACCTAAAAGATAACTGTGTTTGTCAGAGACATGCTCTATGATACTGGGATATAACTATGTTTGTCAAAGGTAATGTTTTGCTGCACATGGATATTCTCCCGGTTTTTCTGGTGCTGCTACTTTTTTGTATATGGTAAGACATCCATGTAATAGTTAACTGACCTCATTGGTTCAATATAATTGTAGACTTAAGCACTCTTTCGTGCCTTACTATTATTCTTGCTTTTTGTAGTATTGAGCTTAGGGGAGCCAGTACTAGACATTGTTATCTTGTGTCTAGCTCCACTCCTTTGAAACTTCTACAAGAATTGATGATCCAAGAATTTCTGTCTTCTATCAAATTCTGCTGTGGTTTACCGACAAGAAAATGTGATTCAACTTTCAAGTCCCCTTTCCGAAAGTATGTATTTATTTAAGTACCTTGACTTTCAAGTCTCTTTTCTCTGTTTCTCTACAAACAAAGAAACGCATCTAATAGCGTATCTAACTAAAGATTTGACATTACTCTTTTCTTTTATAGGTTTGTTGTGCCAACGAAGAAGTGACCTTAACAACAAAGTGGATTACTTTTCGCAAGTATTAATCAAATTGAAGGAACAATAGAATTAGTCAAGGTACTTATAATTAATAACTTCATCATATGTCATTTAGATGTGTGTTAGCCTATGTTGCTCGGACTCTCTTAAAATGTTGCCGGGTGACGGTAGGATCCTCCATTATTTTTGGAGGATTCGACACGGGTGCAGCATTATATTGGAGAGTCCGCGCAAAATAGGTGTTAGCTATCTTATCCTTCTACGATTGATTCAAGTAATGCACAGGCTGCGAGAGACAAAAATTTTCCAGATTCCTCTAGATCAAACTCCTAGTCCAATTCTTGAAAAGGTAATTTTTTTTATTGTTTATTGTTTGTACCTGCTAAAGAAAGATGTTAGTACTATTCTTGGGATGGGAGGACTTCTCTTTTATGCATTAATATCACTATTTTCATATCTTTTTAATGAATACAAGTGGTTTTACTTGGTACTATTGCTAGTACATAGAGCTAGAGATGATGTTTTATTAGGGAGATGAGTAGTAATGTACTAAGCATAGACATATCCACGGGAAAGAGCCATCAAAAGTATCGTGGCTTTCTCTTCCTCCCTTAATTTTCTTCCCTAAATTATTATGTTCTCTCAGTTGGCTGACTAGAATTGCTTTAAGAATGCAAGTCATTGTTGTTTCTGACGATCACAATTTCTTTCTTTGGTGAGCACCCTGATATAGCCTTTTCTTAGACCGGTTAACTTTCTGCCCAAAAGGTTCTATTTTTGAGTCACCATAAAAAATAGAAACGTAGCCTAGCTTCTGATCTGATTGTATGTTTTCATCTTATTGCAATTTTATGATGTTATGTTACCACCAATGCAACATTTTGACAAGTGCACCTGGTGTATGAATTGAAATTAAGTAAATATTGCGCAAATATTATTTTACTGGCCTTTGTTTTGTTGAATATCAGTTATGATGATAATCTCCATTATTATTCATTCTGTATGAAAAATTACCTGTGAGATCTTCTCCCTTGAGCTTGCACTCTATTGGTTTCTATCTAATATTTGATTACTTATTCAATGTGTAGGAAAATTCTTGTGATGCAATTAAAAGTGGTGGCTAAAGTCAGTTTGATCCATTTGAAGTTAAGGAAGAAGATTTTTGGACAATACATTTGGTTTTGTAAAGTTCATATTTAGCACGCAACTTGAAGCAATTTGCTTTATTGGTTGATTGTATTACATGAAGTGTATTCCTTTTTTTTTTGAAGTTCATTGCCTGTATGTGTTTGAAACAATCTCTTTTGTTTATTGATAATGAAGTGCTTGAGTTTTATACTTAAGTAATGACCTCAAATATATGATAAAATATGTATTTGATAATAAATGCAATTATAGGGTTTATACCAAAAAAAATAAATTAAAAGTATAGTAACAAAGACCACGCTTTAGAAGTGAAGCTTTAGGAGCCACACTTGAAAAGCGTGGCCTGCGAGGTAATAAAGGCGACACTTTAGAAGTGTAGCTTTAGGACATGAAAAGTGTGGCCATAGGCAAGCGTAGCCTTTGCCTTATAAAAAGCGTTGCCTTAGGGAAAAGGTTACGCTTGTTTAGGTCATCCCTTAAAAAGTATTGCCTTAGGTCAAAAAGTGTGGTCTATGATCAAAAGTCACACTTTTTGATAGTTTAGACCACATTTTTCGGGCATGGTTAAATGCCTAATTTGTTGTAGTGTTAAACAAGCAACTTGAGCTGGCATAACAATAAGTATTATTAATTATACAACAAAGAAAAAAATATTTAAGTAATAAGACTTAGATCGAATGTCCAACCAATTTCTGTGATGAATTGCAATTGTTCAATAATCTGTATTAAATTTATAAATTCCGTGAGAGGTGAAATTAACCACGTCTAAAACATGAAACAAAAAGACAAAATTACAGAATAATGCACTCCATAAGTTGACCTTGCACTATTTTAGCCCAGTTACAAGGTTGCAAATGTGTAGTCAAATATCAATAAGATCTTTTCTTTTCTCATTCCCTCTAATTATAACAACCTCATTTATTTCTACCTACTCCTATTGTAGTTCTCTCCTCATTTTTCACCCATAAATATTTAATTTAATTAATGAAAAAGAATCATGCAAACAAAACTGAAAAGAAAAATTAGTTCCGCACTCAGTCAACACTCATTCGTGCCTTTTTCCATAACCAATACTTCTCTGTTTTTTTTTTAAATTTTGTATATCTTCAGGTTTATACAAACCTATCACAACTGCAAAACGCAAAAACAAACGCGAGAAACCTAAAATCTCATCTCCTTTAATGCTAATCTTGTTAAATTTCGATTATGATTTTGTGAGAAATTTGGAGTGGGTATTGTTTGAACTTATTAGAAATAGTCTAAGTAGGTTGTACACAAAGTTTGAAGTTATTTGCTGGAGATTTGGACTAGTTTTATACAAGAATTGCAAGTGAAAATCGTACAAAAATTTCGTCAGCGATGCTTATATACTTTTATACAAAGAGGTACAGTATGTATATAATTGTATAAAAGTGTATAAAGATGTATAATCACAGAGTGAAAATATTCTTGATACACTATGTATATAAGTGTATAAGAAGAAGAAGAAGAAGAAGAAGAAGAAGAAGAAGAAGAAGAAAATGCGAGAAATTCACCAAATACCTATAAATAATGTATCAACCTTGGATATAATAGTGTATAAGTTGTGTTTATACACTATTATATACTATTTATACAATATTATACGTTATTATACAAATGAATCCTATCAATGGAGTTTCACGTGTTCTTCTTCTTCCTTGGGCATCCTCTGAAATTTAACTCAAATATAGCCTAAAGCTACTCCAAATCACTTGAAATTTAAGTTTTGAACTCATGTTGATGGTTCCAGTCAATTGAGTCAACACCCGTCCCAAACAACTAACAAATCGGAAAACCCAATTTCTGAAATTTAACTCAAATATAGCCTAAATCTACTCCAAATCACTTGAAATTTAAGTTTTGAACTCATCTTGATAATTCCAATCAATTGAGACAACACCTATTCCAAACAACTAACAAATCGGAAAACTCAATTTCTGAAATTTAACTAAAATATAGCCTAAATCTACTCCAAGTCACCTGAAATTTAAGTTTTGAACTCATCTTGATGATTCCAATCAATTGAGACAACACCCATTCCAAACAACTAACAAATCGGAAAACTCAATTTCTGAAATCAAATCTTCGAACCACTGGTAATGGTGACTTTTATTTTTCAAATCCTTAGTTAACCATTGAAATCCAGAAAAGAATTGAAGGAGAATAACAATAGTAGAGAAATTTTTTGGTGTAAAAGCTGACATGGGAAGGAGAAGAAGAACGAAGAAAAAAGGGGAATGACGAAAAAAGGGGAACGAAGAAATAAGGGGTGGGCTAACTGGTGAAAATTAATTTTCAGATTATGTACAACCTGGGCTATACTGGGTAAAGGCTTCAAACATGGGCCATTTTTGATGGGTTGTTGGGCCAAGTGACAAGGGATGTAATTCTCCCAAACAAAAATTATATAATAAACATTTCTTCATGCAACACTAAAAATAAATTCTCGATGCAAAGTTAACAATTGGTGCATGTAAACGTGCTTGTAAAATACGAAGTAGCAAAAGAAGTTGATGTTAGTAAAAGAAACAAAACCTGGAATTGTGGTATTGAAATATGGCGAAGTTTAACGATTAATTGTGATATTATAGCTTCTTTTATAAAAGTATTTTGTTACACAGTTTGACACATGAAATGAATAACATACTCGTGGAGAATCTAATACGATAAAATTTTCTAGTTTAGATAATTTAACAAATAATGTCATTTATTGAGAGTTGAACGAAGCAGTAACAGTTTAGGGAAAAAAGTTATCAACTTTTCTAGTGTACAAGAAAATTATCAAATATTTACTACTTCAAAGAGTAAAGGGAATTTAACCAACTCCAATAGATATATGATCATTTAATGAAAGTGAACCAAGAGTGTCTTTCCGTTTCAAATAAAAAAGAACCAAGTAGCGAAAGTATAGGAACTATTTTGTATTAACTTTCTTTGTTTAAGAAACTTGAAGAAAAATTAATTTATTAACTTTCCTTTTGTAGGAAACATGAAGAAAAATTACATCAAATAATTACGGCAAAATTTACTAACAAATAATTCTGGCAAAATTTACCAAATAATACAAAATTAAGTAAATGAATATTTTTAAATATAGTGAAATACTTAAATTACTATATTGTCCAATGTGAACTGTATATTTTAAAGGGTAAAAAGGCGAATGACATTTCGCTAAAGGCCTTCGTGCTTTTAGTATAATATAGATAGATAGAATTTTTTTCATTTCAACAAATTATTTTTTTTTTCATGATATAAAAAAGTACTTTTTTTCATTTTAACAAAAAAAATACTTTTTTTCATGTAGAAAAAGTATTTTTTTTCATTTCAAATATTTTTTCTCTTTAATCAAACAAGGGAAAATAAGTGATAAAGTCACTCATTTTCCATGAAAATATTTTCCTTCATACCAAACACACCCTAGTGTATACGCAGACTTTACCTCTACCTTAGAGAGATAGAGAGGTTATTTCTGAAAGAACCTCGGCTCAAGGAAAGATGAAAAAGAAGTTGTAGCAACAAACAATAACACCAGCACTCCAGTAAGAAACCGGAAGCAAAAGAAACAACATATAGTATAGTAGAAAACCACGACTAAAAAAATACAAGACGAACACTAATACTACTGGCCGGTAAGGCCAAGGAACACACTCGATTATCTAACCTTCTACCCTAATTCTCGACCTCCACACCCTCCTTTCATAATGTTTTGAATATTAATTATATTAAGTTAGTTGGTTGAGAATTAAATTCTTCAAGCAGATTAAGGCCTCATTTGTTTTTTTAAGATTAAGACGTCTGAATCTGAATACACATCTGAATATCAAGATGTGTATTAAGATTAAGACATCTGAATCTGGATACACATCTGAATATATTAAAATGTGTATTAAGATCTGAATACTAAATAATTAAGACTGCTTGATTTTTAATATCTGAATGTATAAAATTTATCTTTATTTGAAAATTAAAAAAATATAAAATTCAAATGAAATACTAACTAATCTGATATTCTATCAATAAAATACATATAATTTCTTAAAATATGATAGCTGTTGGTGGTGATGGCTAACGGTTGAATGTCATCTATAAATGGTGGTTGGTGGTAATTTTGGTTGATGATGGTGGTTCATGCTAGTAGCTAGAGTGATTGGTAGTGGTGGCGATTATGATTGAGTATGGTGGTGGTGATAGTTAATATGGCGGGTGGTGGTAGTAATTATGACTGAGAAAGGTGGTGGGTGAGTGGTAGTAGGTTATAATGATGGACATCACCGGTTGTGGTTGTTGATGGTGATGGGGTGGTCAGTTGTGGTAGTTGAGGTGGATGAGTGTTGATTGTGGGTGAGAATGATGGAGGTCGGAGTGGTGTGGATAGTGGATAGTGATGGTCGATTATGGTGGCGGCTATGATTGAGGATGATAGTGGCGTGATGGTGGTGGAGGTAGTAGTGGTTGAGTATGGTGGTGGTGGTTGAGTATGGTGGTGGCGGCGGCATGGTAGTAGTTGATAATGGTAGGCGGTGGCGGCAGTTAATAATGAATATGTGATAGCATCTTAATGAAATTAAGTCTCTGTTATAAATCTTAATCATACGGACCTATTCAGACTCATTAAGTACTTGTGAAGTAAAAAAAAAACGCACTTAATGATTAAGATCTGAATAATTAAGATTCAGACTTTAAAAACAAACGCACTTAATGTCTGAGATCTAAATAGTTAAGATTCAGACCTCCATTAAGTGCAAACAAATGAGGTTAACGCTGCTAGTCGTTGCCCTTGTTGTGGCTTGAATCATCTTCCTTTTGAGCAAAATGAATGATATTATGGGTGTGTTTGGTATACCGGAAAATGTTTTCCGTGGAACACAAGTAGTAATCTTATTTATTTTCTGGTATTTGGTACGCAAATTAAGGAAAATAACTTCTCAAGATTATTCATAAATAATTTAGATACAATAAACATGAATCCATAAACTTTCGGACCAACAACCTTCCAAACGCACAAATTTCATAAACTTCTGAACCGCTAAACTTGTGAAACTGCGAACTTTCAAACACATAAACCTCCGAACTCATAACTTTGGAAATTGTAAATTTGTGAACCTGTAAACCGAAAGATGAAAAAACTAAGACTATATATATATATATATATATATATATATATATATATATATAT